AGAGAGGGAGCCTACAGCACGGGAGCACACTTTTACCACATGCACATCAGATAGAGCACTAATCTCTGGGGTATACGAAAAACTCAAAAAACTTAATACCCAAAACCAAACAACCTAATCAATAAATGGGCTAAGGAACTGAACATACACTTCTCAGAAGAAGATATACATGTGATCAAAAAATATATGAAAAAATGTTTAACATCTTTAGTAATTAGAGAAACACACATCAAAACTGCTCTCAGATTTCCTCTCACCCCAGTCAGAACGCCAGTCACCAAGAATACAAGCAATAGGGGCTGGGGTTGTGGCTCAGTGGTGGGGCATTTGCCTAGCACGCGTAGGCCCTGGGTTTGATTCTCAGCACCACATAAAGATAAATAAATTTAAAAAGATATTGTATCCATCTTCAACTACAAAAAAAAATTTAAAAAGAATACAAGCAATATAAGTGTTGGAGAGGATGTAGGGAGAAAGGCGCACTCATACATTGCTGAGGGGATGGCAAACTGGTACAACCCATCTGGAAAGCAGTATGGAGATTCCTTAGAACACTTGGAAAGGAACCACAATTTGACCCAGCTATCCCACTCCTCAGCCTATACCCAAATGACTCAAAATCAGCATACTATAGTAACGCAGCTATGTCAATGTTTATAGCAGCGGAATTCACAATAGCTAAACTGTAGAAGCATCCTAGATGCCCTTCAATAGATGAATGGATAAAGAAACTGGTAAAATATACACAGAGGAATATTACTCAGCAGGAAAAGAGAATAAAATTATGGCATTTGCAGGTAAATGGATGGAGTTGGAGAATATCATGCTAAGCAAAGTAAGCCAATCCCCCCAAAACCAAAGGCCCAAAGTTTTCTCTGCTTAGTGGATGCTGATCTATAATGGGGGAGGGGCATAGGAAGAACGGAGGATCTTTGAATTGGGCAAAAAGGGGAGGTAGGGGAGAGGTTATGAGGGTAGGAAAGATGGTGGTATGAGATGGACATCATTACCCTAGGCACATGTATGACTGCATGAATCGTGTGTTTCTACACCGTGTTCAATCAGAGAATTGGAATGTTGAGCTCCATTTGTGTATGAAGAATTGAAATGCATTCTGCTGTCATGTACAACTAAGTAGAACAAATAAGAATGAATAAATCTAATTAAACAAAACTTTTCCACTGGGCTGGGCATGTGGCTCAAGCGGTAGCACGCTCGCCTGGCATGCGTGTGGCCCGGGTTCGATCCTCAGCACCACATACCAACAAAGATGTTGTGTCCGCTGAGAACTGAAAAATAAAAAAAATAAAAATTAAAAAAAATTAAAAAACTTTTCCAGCTCAGCCGTGGAGTTAACCCACATTAGAAGCCCATGTGAGGGATTTCTTGGAAGTTTGAGGTCACCTGTCCTGACCCAACCCACGTGTGGCTGCAATCAGAGGTGTGTCCAGATCAAATCGAGACTCACTGGAGATCTTGGATTGCACATTTTCCCCTCTTGAGCGGCCTTGCCAGGTTGTCCAGGCTGGCCTCAAACGCCTGGGTCACACGGTCCTCCTGCCTCAGCCTCCTGAGCAGCTGGGAGGACTGGCGCGGGCCCCACACTGGGCTAGAGACAGCCTTGGTCCTTCCTGTCCTCAGTCCTCCTTTCTGGGCAAGGAAGTGCTTGCAGTTGTCAGGGCTGCTCAGCGGGTGACATTCTCGAGTCCTCTGCTCATGTGTGGTCCCTGTTCACATGACCAGTTGCGTGTACCGTTATTTTCATTCGAATCGTTCAAATTTCCAAACATGAAAACACAGCACTATAGCATAATGTTCTCAAGGTTCTTCTGTTGGGACAGGTGCCAGGATTTTTGTCCTGATTGTAAAGGCTGAGTAATGTTCCATTGTGCAAAGAGGTGACATTTTGTTTCTCCATTCCCACGTTGACTGAAAACACACCCATGCTTCTCATCCAGAGACTCAGGAAGCAGGAGGATGGTAAGTTCCAGGTCAGCCCAGAAACTCAGCAAGACCCTGCCTCAAGATAAAAAAAGGGGCTGGGGCTGGGGCTCAGAGGTACAGCACTTGCCTAGTACGTGTGAGGCCTGGGTTCGAACCTCAGCACCACATAAAAAATGAAGATACTGTGTCCACCTATAACTAAAAAATAAATATTAAAAAGTGGGGCTGGGGATATGGCTCAGTGGTAGTGATGCCGAGTTCAACCCCAGTACAGAAAGAAGGAAGGGAATATAAATCAACCTTTTTTCTGAACCCAGGGCCTCAAGCATGATTGACATAGCGCTCTACCACCCAGCCACGCCCCCAGCCCCAAATCAACTACTTTTAAAAAATCTGTTTAGGGTTGGGCTGGGGCTCAGTGGTAGAGCGTCTGCCTAGCATGTGTGAGGCACTGGGTTCGACCCTCAGCACCACATATAAAAATAAATAAAATCAAGGTCTATTGACAGCTCCAAAAAAAATCTTTTTATTTTGGAACAATGACAGTCTTGCAGGAAGGCGTAATGATAGTGCAGGAGCTGGGGTGCCACTCGGTGGCAGAGCACATGCTTAGTGCGGGTAGGGCCTGGGTTCAACCCCCAGCACCAAAAAGAAAAAAAAAGTAGAGCAGAGCAGTCCCAGTACCCTGTGTGCGGCTTCTCCAGTGGTGACATGTGACAGAACAATATCATTTCAAAACCAGGACGTTGGACTGATATGATCTGCAGCCTGCATTCAGATTTCAACAGCTCTACAAGCCTGGCTGAGGGTGTTGATGCGATTTCATCACGCGTACAGATTTGTGTAACCAACACCACAATTATGAGGCTTAATACTTTATTTAACCAGGGAAACTTTGGAAGCCTCCAGCAAAGGGAAAGGAGACGCCATCTGCTGGGAAGGGCCGCCTGTGTAAAGGGTGAGGCCAGAGGAGGCACCTCCTGTGGCACAGTCTAGCTGGTCCAACAGAGAGACTGTGTGTCCAGAAGCGTCCGACAAGCCAGGCGTGGTGGCGACGCCTGTCATCCCTGTGGCTCAGGAGGCTGAGGCAGGAGGCTCATGAGTTCAAAGCCAGCCTCAGCAATATGGAGGCCCTAAGCAACTCAGTGAGGCCCTGTCTGTAAGATACAAAACAGGGCTGGGGATGTGGCTCAGTGGCCAAGTGCCCCTGAGTTCAATCCCTGGCTTCAACCTCTCACCCCCAAAAATCGCAGCATCAGTCGGCAGCTCTGAGGCAGCCCTGCAATGGGGGAGAGTTCCGAAGGAGTCCCTGCCTGCCATGCAGCTGCGTGCGCTGCCCTGTGTTGCCAAGTTCTCTTGCTGGAGAAACACCGTGGCTGGCCACTGTGTGTTCACAAGGATCCTGGGAAGGAGCAACAAGCCCTGCTCCCATTTCACAGGCGAGGAAGCAGGCTCAGAGGCGACGTGGCTTGCCTCCTTCTGTCACTTTCTAGATATTTGACCTGGGGTGAGTTGCTTTAGTCCTGATCGTCTGTTTCCTTATTATAATCAGAAGAAAAAGCAGTTACTGTCTCAGGGCTGTTGAGAATGTTAAATGAGCCAGCTTGGTGGCACACGCCTGTAATCCCAGCGGCTGGGGAGGCTGAGGCAGGAGGATCACAAATTCAAAGCCAGCCTCAGCAACAGCAAGGCGCCACGCAACTCTGTGCAACCCTCTCTCTAAACAAAATACAAAAAAGGGCTGAGGATGTGGCTCAGTGGTTGAATGCCCCTGAGTTCAATCCCTGATACCTCCTGCAAGGAAAAGAACATTAATTGAGATAATACTGAATGCTGAACACTAGGAAAGAGCCTGGTGGAGGTATGAAGTTGGTAAGGGAGTGCCAGTCCTCATCACCATCAACATCACCATCTCACAGGCTTGCCTTAAGCTCAAGGTCACCTATAGCATGAAACACCATTATCATTTAAAACATTTTTTTAGTTGTAGATGAACACAATACCTTTGTTTTATTTATTTTCATGTGGTGCCGAGAGTCGAGCCCCGTGCTTCACCGGTGGGAGGCGAGCGCTCTGCCAGAGCCCCAGCCCCAGCCCATCAGTCTCATTTTCTTGCTCTTCTGATCCCGACAGGGAGCTTAGCCCTGGACCTGCTGTCTCTGTAACAATCGCATCCATGAATGTCACCTTCCT